TGGATGATGAACACCTTGTCAACCAATTTAATGTCAATTACTGAACTGATTCCTGTTATTTTCCTTGTCTTTCTAGTTAATGGGAATTGAAGTGGAAGCTGAATATGGAGGAACAGACTCATCATTTTTTATGTCCTGTCTTGTTGTTGAAGAACTGGCCAAAATTGATCCAGCTGTCAGTGTGATGTGCGATGTCCAGAATACCTTAATTGTCACACTGTTTAGAAAGTATGGAACGCCTCAACAGAAAGAGCAGTATTTACCCAGACTAGCAGAGAATATGGTAAATAATATATTGTTGACTGTATAGAGAATGCTGTTTTCAGTGGCAAATGTTGCCAACTTAGACTCTGTTCTAGAGATATGCATATAGGGTATCAAGGATATACAGTAGCACATCCATAGCATATTAGTTAGAGTGTCAGATGTTGCCCATGACTAACCACAAGGTGACTGTCGTTAAACATAGCAGATTCATGCAAGTTAAAGAGCCATTTACAATTAATTCAAGTCCTCAGGCTAACAAATCAGATCGAACATCTTTATTTTAACAACATGAACATCCTTTAACTTATTAATTGGTAATTCTTCTCACTATGAGTTATTACTATGTTTAAACAGAGTTTTGTCATAAGCCAGGATAGACCACAATGATCAATAGCAAAGTTCTGAATTACATACTTACATACATACATACTTTATTTGCAACTCCCCAAAAGGGCTTTTCAGTTACAAAAGGAATAAAAAAGATAAAAATACGTCAATTAAAATGAGTAAACAAACTGGGTAAGGAGTCTAAAATTAATTACAGTATAAAGATTTAAAACTTTACAAAGTTTAAAATTGAATATTAAGAATTTACATTATTAANGGTCGGCTCTGGATGTGATGCCTTTGCTCTTAAGACCAAGGCTGAAAAGAAGGGAGACTTCTACGTAATCAATGGCTCCAAAATGTGGATCACCAATGCCGAACATGCAGGAGTGTTTTTTGTTTTTGCCAATGTTGCACCAGAAAAGGTAGAAAATGCAATTTTTATGTCTACTGTATACCTCTACTTTTTAAGGGCCAATGTAGTTGCTCTTATAACCTGTTGGCCAGTTTTTCCTCAGAGTGAATCAAGTCTTGTGAAATACTTCATTTCTGGCTGCTTTTAATGATTTAATCAACACTTCACAAGACTGATTTGTTCTATTAGTGCAACAAATAGATATGACAACAAGGAGAAGGGAGTCGAATATACATGAACCATCAACCCAGATTACCTTTTTGGGAGGATTTTCCTGAACTTTACTAAACTGATGGACTGAAAAATAGGTGGGATTATGGGAAGCATTTGTACTGACCAGCCTTTTTAATTAATTATGGATTATTGTTTTTTTGAAGGGATACAAAGGGATTACAACATTTGTAGTCCCAAAAGAAACTGAAGGGCTTTCACTTGGCAAAAAGGAAGACAAGGTTTGTTTGTTTCTCTGTTTTAACACTAAACTAGGTTTGGGAGAGTGATGAAGAATCTAATTTCATTTTATTCATGTTTATGTGGCTGTCTTTAAATTAAACAAAAATAAATGAGAAATATACATAATGGGCTAATTACCAGTATAAGTATTTTTCTTTAATTTTTTCGTAATATTAAGTTTTACTTTGTTGTGGTCCAGATAAACTGAATTGTTCATCCTGATTTATAAAACAAGTGGTCCAGTTTGTTTCTTCAGGACAACTTGCAATTGTTTTATCAAGACTTAAATAATCATGGATGGCGACTGTTATAACTACATCTATTAAGTAGTTATTCAGAGGAAAATCCACCTTGTCTCGTACTTTTCTGTTTTAATTTTGTAGCTTGGAATAAGAGCATCATCAACTTGTCCTGTAAACTTTGACAATGTAAAGGTGAGAAATGTTTCAAGAGGTTTCCAGCAACTTGCTTCCAGTTACCACTTGCTTCCAGTGACCTCGATATAGTAATCAAAGCCAATGATGAAAAGATTTGTTTCATCCTAATGTGATTATTAACACTGTAAAAAGCACTGTAAAAAGTACATACGTTTTGTAATGTTGTTCTGCGATGTTAATACATCTTATATTTGTTGGGTTTCTTTATACCTTAAAATTCTGGTGTTAAGCTCTGAGCTTATACAACTTTATAAGGGGTTTTGGTTGGGCTTATAAATTGGCGAGGGGAGGCTTATAAGCAGTATAAATAAGCTGATCAAACCAACATCCGGTTATAAAAATAATGTTTTATGTTCTTGGGAACAAGAAACACAAGGCACTAATAAGGAAACAACTACAGGAAACATAGAGATGATATTCTTAACTTGCACTATGAGAAAGTATAGTATAACTTCTGAACTGTCAGTGTTCAGGGTTTTTTTAATATTGATTTTTACCATTTACTCTGACTACAGGTTCCTGCAAGTTCAGTTTTAGGTCAAGTTGGTCATGGTTACAAGTATGCCATTGACTGTCTCAATGAAGGACGCATTGGGATTGGAGCTCAGGTGAGTGATTGACAGATGCTACTTATCTGCTATGAGATTGTTTTTCAGAATTATCAGAACTGATAACTGATAAGATAAAGTGATTAAAAGTGACCTTTTGGTGGCATACTAGGCTTGTTTGGTCTCATCGCTGAAATTTTAGCTTGACTGCATCTTGCCAAAACATGAACCATTGCTCATAATCATGACCACCCTCAAAACATTCCTAAAATGTACAATTAGGCATAAGAATCACAGAACACCCTCAAGAAGTTGTACATTCAGAGATAAGTTGATAACATATACTAAACACTGTTGCCTTATTAGGCTCGATTACCAGCCACTGTTCAGGGGAGGAGCATGGAATCCTTCCCCAAACTCTTCTCAGGGAGGAAGGAAGGACCAGCTCCAGAGAGTGGTGACATTAGAGCCAGTTGCCTTATTGGAGTGCTTTTCTATAGTTAAGCACTTGTGGACCACATGGTTTTGTTTCCATTTTTATTTTTGTCAGAGTAGTGTCAAAGTAACTTGTGTAGTGTTGTGATTAGTAAAACTTCTGCTGTCATACTCTTCTGTGCTTTATAGATGCTTGGACTTGCTGAGGGCTGTTTAAATGCCACAGTTCCTTATTTGCATGAAAGGAAGCAGTTTGGTCAGAAGATCTGGGATTTTCAGGTAAGAATAGCCAGAAGTCACATGTTATGTATACCAACCATACCTCATGACTAAAATCGTTTGCCATCCTTAGCTGTGGACTGCAGCCGTCTTGCTCTGGGTTGTCACGCCACTCTGAAGCACGTCATGATGATGTAGAGAGTTATTTTCTGACGAGCCTCGTGTGAAGAAGTCCTTTGACTTGTCACACAATCTTTTAAAAGAGTACCTTTATGCAACTTATATTGCAGACTTACAATAAAAGTGTTCCTATGTGGAATACAAACCTTCTGAGAATTCTAATATGGAAAGCAATTTGTTTAAGAGTTTCGCAAACTTTCAAAGGAATATGCGTCAAGTTCCTTTTTCAATACTTGACGATATTTTCATTTCCTCGCCACAATAGATTATTTTGCCTTCTTGCTATTTTGATCAAATAAAATTCTTAAATTTCAAAGTTATTATCAAAGCTCTTGATAGGGTTGTTGGCAGGTAAGCATTGCCTTGCCATCCTCTGACTAGGAAAGAGTTAGGAGGGGTCTGTCAAATAGTTCGTAAAAAACTTGTGTCGAGTTTAAATCAAATGCGACTGTAATTGTGTGTAAACAACCAAACAGTTATTTCAGGGTGCCATTTGTACGTATGTATGGCTCTAGATAGACATCGTGCTAGAATGGAATGTGTTGAATTGTTGTTCTTGTTCTTGTTTCCGCAGGCTGTCCATCATCAGGTCGCGCACGTGTTCACACAGATTGAAGCTGCTAGACTGTTGGTGTACAATGCTGCACGGAGAAAAGAGGCTGGGCTCTCCTTCCTACGAGAAGCTGCTATGGCAAAGTACTTCGCGGGCGAGGCAAGTTTGCTCTCGTAACTTATAACGAGAAAGGTCTCCTCTTATTATAATGCAGCTGTCTAGAACTAAAGGAACGTCCTTGAGTTTGTGATTTGGGGTTGCGTCTCGGAAAATCGGTAATGAATGGTGCGCGAGAAGGGATGAAATTAAGTCTGAAACATCGCGGCAATAGTTTCCATTCAATTTCAGCTGTGGACTCAAGGGTCATGAGGGTGTTTCTTAGGATTGTTTGTCATATTCGGGAGTGACTGCTAAGGGCAATAAAGAAGATAATTCAGAGGAACATGGGCGGGGAGGTTAGAGTCTGAGAAGCTTTAACTTATCGACCCTTATCGCGCTGTGAACGGATAGATGGTTGGCTAGACAAATGAACTCGTTGGGGTGTGGCATGGAACGGGAAAAATAACAGGCCTTTTCCAAATTGCTTTTTGTCTCTGCTTCAGCACGAGTCTCCGTGCGAAACCATTCATATGAAAATGTGTTCCGCCGACACGTTTTTTCTCATGCAGGTCAGTGAAACTCATTTTCATTTGAAAAGTTTTGGACGACTACTCGTTTTGAAACAGAGGCACAAGGTAACTCCAGCTCGTTTTAGCCCCCGATCTGACAGCCGGCGATCGTTACAAGATGCCAGAGGTAGAGTGACAGATAATCGTCAGTGGACATCAAGAAAATCAAAGTGATCGATTTGCGACAGTTTTCGCGTTACTGGATAAATAAACATGTCTATAGCTTTTGATTTTCCTCGCAAAATACATCTAACTTTCATCAAAGAATCTTAGTTTTTATGTGGAAGATTGATTTCTTTCATGGAATCTTACATTCTCATTGGTCTAGTTATAGTTAAAAATCCAGAATGACAAGAAGAACGATAAAAGACTTCTTGATTTGTTTAATCTACTATGTTCATGAATAGATCGAGCAATTAGTATATCTGCTAACTAGGGGCAGATGTTCCTTTTAGGTCTTTCACTTAGGCAAACTTCCGTACTGAAACTTTGTACTTAAGGAAGGTATCGATAGATTGTACTGATACGATATTCCTTCCATTTACTGGAAGTTCGTTTTATGATATTTAGGTATGTGTCTTTTCCTCACGTGACATTCTGCTGTAGCTTCCAGGCGCCATGTTTAAAAGATTCTCTTTGGCGCACGTGAAGAGTTTTAGATTCTCTACCAGCTGGTGATTGAGCGATACTCTCGAGCGTTTACAGGATCGTATCAACAACAGACGTCATCAGTTGTATGTCGCAGGCTCAATGAATGTTTCGGAGATGTCAAAGAGTCGTCAAAGACTGAAACAAATAATGATCTTTGTTGTTGCTTTGTGTGTTATCAGGTAGCTGCCCTGACGACTTCAAAGTGTATCGAGCTGATGGGAGGAGTCGGTTTTTCCAAACAGTATCCAGTGGAGAAATTCTATCGAGATTGCAAAATAGGTCAGTGCGGTGTGTTCTTTTTCTGTGACATTTTGAGCGCATTCTCGTTACAATCTTCTTGCATCACTCTACAAAGCCAATCACTTCAGGCACAAACTAAATCATAAACCAATCAGACTTCGAAGCAGAAACATGTAGCATGTAGCATGCGCGGGAAAAGCCACGTGGTGGTTTTGATCTGATTGGCCGACAAAACAACACTTTTACTCTGATTGGTTGAAGCGAGCTTACGTGTCATAGTTTCGTCAACCAATCGCTGAGTTGAACAGACAGAATGATTTATTTTGGACCGTTTATTTGCTTTTTTTACAGCAGACACTTCACATGGGGTTCTTTTCCTTTGCAGGTGCCATTTACGAGGGAACCACGAACATTCAACTGTCGACAATCGCCAAAAACATGACAGAATTTGAGCCATAGAGGAAAATTCTCTTTCACGGATCGACAAACGAATCTGTGGAACGTTCATCGCAATCAAGGACTTTTCCGATGCTTCACAAAAAGTAAAATTATCTTTGAAGTACTGTGCAGTAATTATGGACAAACTCTCATGGTTGCTCTGTTGGATAAAATCTTTGGTGCTCAAGTGTACGCCTGGGTGAACAATTTCAAATGATCAAATGGTATGAGGGAGGTATTCCTTCTTTATTCGAAGCTCCGACCTTAGAGGCAGGTCAAGGACTTGTGCAGTGGAGACGAGGAATGAACAGTGCGAATCTCGCAGGTCGAGCGACTTACACTGGACTTAGTTAATACATCAGCCACTCTTTGTTGTTTAAAATGCAGGTTGTTTCAATTCAATCGGAGAACAGTCGCCGTGAATGGCAAATCTTGGTGGAGGACCCGTGGAGTTTCCGAGTTTTATTATCCTGTCAAAACAATGCGTGATCGGTCTGAAACTTGTCTCGACCGCATAGCGCTGAAAATATTCGTTCAGTTACTTAGCAACCAATGATGTGAGCAGAAAGTTTTAAGTAGTCAACGTTTCTCAAACAAACTTGACCGTAGATCAACAAATCACAGTAGTTAAAATACAAATGCGGGGCAGAATTTTTGCGTTTAGATTAATATACCTTGGTGGCGATTTTCTTGTACGTGATATTTATATTTTGTCAGGTACATATTGTTATTTCTCTTATAAAAAGGAAGCGAGGTCGTTGAATCAATGTACCCATTTTATTTATTGCAGTCTATATCTTATTTTAGGGGTTTATATTAGATTTAAACCTGAAGACTATAAAAGAGGCTGAAAGTCAGTAATAGAGAAATGTGTAAATGAAGTAATAATAAACTGAGTGACTCAGCTATATTTGATGGTAATGAAAACCCGTAAACTTTTTCTTACAGTCCTGTTACAATTACATACGGACTCGCACGTAGACACAAGCTTGGAAATATGCCGTATAAACTTACACTTGCGTTGAACGGCCGAGCGAATCGCAAGTTTACTTGCAATTGCGAGCAAGTTGTCAAAAGGGTCATTTTAATGCCACCTGAATTATTAAACCTGTTCGAAGTCATTACTCACAAGCTTTGATGAAGGCCTAACACTCGAAACGTCAGTTTAACAAAATCGCAACGTACGTAAAATTCGCGAGTATAATTACAATGTAACACTAAAGCATCAGCCCCTTGCGCCTGAAATGTCTGAACAAGTGAACAAAGTTAATAGTTATTGCTGCGGAGCGAGCGGAGCGAGCCAGTAGCAACATAATCAGGATTTAAGAAGAATATATAGAAGGGGGTACGAATTCTCGAATTCATCACTATTAACAGAATGTGCCGCAGCATTACTATCTTGTAGATACCCTAGTTGATAGCTTGTAAAACGGAAAATAAATTGGCACTTATCCCTCGGTTAGTCTAGCTGTTGTGAAGAGGGCAAGTTTCGATCACGACAAAACCCAAAATCACTGCCCACGTATGTGGCGCGAGGAGGCGCGTTTTCGGGTAACTATGGTAGTCATGGTAATTTTACTTGACGTGGTCACATGATGATTCATTTTGGCAACGATTTCGACGCAGCCAGAAAGTTCTGAAGATTACATTTGCGTCACCGAAATCATGTAGCCAAGAAAAACAAAGTGCGTTACAAAATAAAGAGAAAAAGTCGTGTTTGGGTCCGAGATTGGATAGGAGACCCGGGTTCATTGGGTTACGGGGAAGATCGAAGAGGGAGGCAAAAACAGCAAGATTGTGTGGTACCTTAATTTACTTTCTTACCCAGAGGTCGCAAACTCTTTTGTCAACACACGAGATATCGCGATCAAAAAGATTTTGGCTTTCAGCTGGCAAGGTTGACTCTATTTTTGAATGGTGTGTGAAAAAGTCGGAGATTTTACAGAAAGAGGCCTGCAAGTGAACAGAGAAAGAGGGAGGGGGTAGCAATGGGAAAAAGAAAAAAAACGGTCTCACCTCGATTCGCCTCTCTCAATGTATTTTTCCAGAATCACGCTCAATGGGGGCATCCCCTGTCAATCAGGATCAGATCGATCAGATCAAACCGCGCGCTCTCGACCAGAAATTTCCCATAGTTCCAAGAGGCACTGTTTGTGACGTCAACACATTTGTTGCGTGCGCAGCTCTTGGCTTCTCTTGATTTTCTCCGTAATATTCCATCTTGTGATAAAGCCACAATGGTGAGTAAAAAGAAACTTAATGCGATTTTCCTTCATTATTCTCGCTAACGAATAAAATTTATGTTTCAAGGATGACACAGAAGACAAGAAAAAAAGCCTGTAAGTAAAAGAATTGCGAAACTATGAGAGATCTTTGGCTTTGTTATTCAGGAAGTTGCATGCTGTCGTTCACATTTTTTTTCGCCATTTCTCTTTAGTTATGTTGGGAACTTAGATCGTCGTTGCACCGAACAGTTTGTCGAGGCTATTTTCTCCAAGTGTGGAAAGGTTGTGCGATGCAAAATGATTAACGCGGTAGGTAATTATTTTTTGCATGTACATGGGTATTCAATGTTGTTTGACTTGTAAAGTGCCGGCCGGTTCAAATACTCCACTGCACACGATGTAAGATTACATTTCATTTATAAATTAAGTTTATGTCTTATTTGTGTATACGGGTGCCTGTAGTTTTTTTTTACATTATCTTTCATCTTATATGTTTCTCATTTGTAGATGTGTATTTCTTTGTTGTAAACTAAATTGATTCGTTGGTAGTTTTATATTTTCAAGTGCACTTCGTCGTCGAAGTTGTAAGTTTTCTGCCCTCCAGTCTAAACGTGTAGACTCAATTGGCGTCAAGGAAAACTCGATTAACTGGCTTACAACATAATTAGATAACAACAGTTATATTATTTGAAATGAAATCTATCTTTTGATGAAACAACGTAATTTTTATTCGAAGAATTCTTGGCTTTGTTACTCTCCTTCCTCTGAACTTCCGGTGTTAATTTATTCTGTCAACGGGTAATTTTCGTGCACGAAAGTTCGATCGTAGTTTTTACGATTTTACCAACCAATTCTGCGTTGGTTTTCTGGAAATACTTGAACAAATTGTAAGAAATCAAACCTATTAGATGACCTGTTGAGAAAGTAAGGGAAGCATCAATTTCAATCTCTATCTCCATGTATTTCCTGTTCTGAACAGGCTTTCGGCTAAAGACATGGTAAAGAATGTTGTGGTGGATTCAGGGGGTCCAAAACATGGCCTTGTTCGTTAAATCTGATCTGATCATGGTTCATAGAAAATAAAAAGTGTCATCCGGTCAACACAGTTACAGTAGTTTAAACAAATTATCATTTCTTGAAAACTTTCATGGAAAATCATGTATAGCTGCAAATTGCCAGATCATGTTTCAGTAAGGATGATAAGTACTTAATAACCAGCCCAAGTAAAAAGTTTTAGTTCAAAATTTGCCACAGTCACAAGACAAGATCCGATTATGAGCCAGTCCAAGGTTGATAGTGTTATTGCCCCAGGTAATTTAAGACCATTTTACACTGCTGGGGGCCGCTGGGGTCGATAATGTGACCAAATTTTTTTCACTGGCGTCCTGAAAGTCGAGCCCTGTGTTATGTGAAGTGTTTTTGCTGAATCATAGTGTTTGAGGTGCAGGATATAACAAACTTAAGGTTCACCTTTCATCTCAACAAAACTGGATAATTTGAGAAAAGTTCTTTACTACCACTTGTAGTTCCAAACTAGTTAGAAACTAGTTAAACCCACAAGCATTGACTGTTTAAGAATTGTTACATGCTTAGTGGGTATCTATTAAGTTACTGATGGATAACACAAGGAAATATCTATCAAGTTGTGTTTGCGCTTGGGAGTTTGGAGAGGTACTAGAGAAGCATAAGAGCTGATCAAGGCATATATGTAGCCGAGAACAATTCTAGCTTCTTGAATACTCTCCAAACTTCTTAAGTACATCCCCCAACTTGATACTGGCAAATTGAATGCTGTGTGGGGGGGAGTAGCCCTATGATGGGCTAGCATCCCATCTGATAGGCCACTTGGCCCAAAGGAACACTCAAACTTACCTTACCTGTACAACTTGATAGATACACTGCTAAGGGTATCAACCAATTCTGTTATAAACATAGCAACAGAGATCAGGAATGAGTGAGAAACAGCTGTTATTTGAAAAGAAATTCTCTTTTACCAAGCAAACTTTTTGTTTGCTATCCTCACTGTCTCTGTCAATGCTTAGTGAGGGTAGCAAGTAATGAAACTTTCTGAATCATATCTGTACTGTGGTTGAAATAATATCTGTTTTTGTTGTAACAACAGATGATGTTCTGTATGTTAAGTTCAACTCAACTTCATCTGTTTACATTTAACCAGCTCTCATGTCTCTCCTTTTAGAGTTCCTCAACTGATCCTTACTGCTTTGTGGAATTTGAAAACAAAGAAGATGCGGAGTATGCACTTTTTGCAATGAATAATAGGCATGTTTATGACAAGGTAAGCTTTCCATAAGCTTGTAATGAAGTCAGTGCCTTAGAAGAATTTGCTTGCTAAAATGGTTATCAACCAAAAGGATACAGTCACATTGGTTGCATATGCAATTAAAGCACGAACATGGTCTAATTGGGTATCAAACATGGACCCAGTATGATAATTTTAGCCTGGTGGGTAATACAATTCACTTATTTCCATCCACATTCAAGGCATCAAAATATACTACCAGTCTGTTCTGAGAATAGCCTGGATTTCAGCTGTCTCCTGGGGTTATACACTCATGAAAAGAGATCTGAAAATTATTTGTGATGTTGAATTAACTCCAACATGGTAAAGAGTGATATTCACCAAATTATACACTTGTAAATGCACGTAGTTCAACTTGCAAAAAGTTGTATTGTAAACAGGAAAGTGAACTTTTTTAAACCATTTACTATTTAAAATGAACCTTAACCTCATTTCACCTTTCCCCCTCTGACAGAATTGTTAATGGTCCAATTGTCCAAGAGAAATTGCTATATCTATGTGTGTTTATTAGTTCTACTTCAAATCTGCTTTTCTTGATGGATGTTGAATCTATTTATAGCTTGTAGGTTTTGTGTTTGTGGCATTCGTTGCTTTGAAATGCAGCAATTTTTGTGATCAATATTTCTTGTTTTACCAATAAGCTCAATGCTTGTGTTCAACCAGAGAATTTTCAAACTTGTCATTGTGTCAAATTTCAGATAGGGATGTTTTTAGAAGTGATTTATTTCGTTTCTTGTTGGCTTTGTTGCAAACGGAGTGAATGGCCTCATTCAAATTAAAGCGAGGCACGTCGTGAAATTCAGTATTGTTAATACTGCAATCAATTATAATCCCAAGGTTTTGATGTCATTTTACTAGTAAAATAATTTCTTTTTTCAGGCAAACTATCTCTCATATACTACAAACCGAATGGCCTCCACTCTCCTGATCACATGCATGATTTGGTTAATATGTAGTGGAATCATCATTCAAGCTCTAGTCTGAAGCCAAAATGATAGCAATCTGATTCATCTTTATAATCACATTGCATAGTCAAGTAGACATTCGATATTTATGAATGAAAATGCTATTGTCATGCACCATCACCTCAGAACAATCATTGAAAGACATATACTTAAGGTGGCCTACTACAGTTTTGATGGATTATAACAGCCCAACTTCTAACTCTTTTAAAATAATGTTCCAAGATGTTTTTCCTTTCTCTATTTACTGTTTACTGAAGTCTTTTACCATTCTATGTGAAACTTGAACAATTAAACATAAACAAATGGCCAAAATGAACGACCAAGTACCTAAGGAGAGACTGGGCACTAGTAGGTTAAACCACGATTTTTCTCAAAATCTACTGGTATGACCCCACCTCAGAATTTCAGGAATAAGAAATTGGTTCTGATTTAAAATTCATGCAAACTAAAATAAAAATCTGTAAGACAGATTTTTCGCAAACTAAGAAAACGTGAAATCAAAAATACCTCAAAATCTGTCTTACGCATTTTTTAAACATTTTGGATCTAAACGTGATTCACCCCTATAAATCAATTGTGAAAATTTCATCATGGGTTGTACGGTAGGTTTTCGAGTAATCCTCGATCAAAGACTGGCTTTTACAACCTTGGAAGAAAATTGAATTGCACATGCCCTTTATTTAAGCATGTGCTCATGTGACGCCATGTCTCATGTGCGAGAAAGCAAGAGTAATTTAGAACTCTTTTACGGGTTGTTTATTGAGTTGTTTTGTCATTTTTTTTGGCCCTAGGCTTAAACACATGTTTGAACAGAGTTTCAAACTATTGATATGCATACCAAAGTGATTTAACGCCTTTCAAGTGCTGAAGTGGTTTTCGTTTCTTCTTAGGGTTGCTTGAGTCATTTGTGCAGGCATGATTAATACTGACGTCTGGCAAGCAATCATATTGCACGCTACTAGTCTCTGAAAAACTGTAGTAAGCCACCTTAAGATTCTTAAACGTAGGGCTGAGAACTGGGTAAGGCAACCACCAATCAATGCTCCTGGGTTTTTCTTGACTAATGGTATGTACAGTACATGTACCTTGCCTCTAATGAAATCTGACTTTCAGCAAGTGCTATAAAAAGAGTGTTGGCAATAATTAACTGAGACATTGGGGTGGTATCAAAAAGAATGTGAGATGATGAGACCTGTGAGATTGACTCAAATTCTGTGAGGTGCACAACTTTTAAAGGACCTTTCAAAACCCTTATTTAGTTCACTTCAAGGAATTTTGTGTGACAAGCTAAAGTTGTTAGTAGTCCTTCTTGAAGCTTTTTATGCCTGTCAGTGAAAAAATTTTTCTTCAGTTGGCAGAAATGTAAAGCTGCATGTATTGATATGTTTGATGGTTTAATTATGAACTCAACTTAAAAGTAAAATTCTACAACTGACAAAGCTGATGAGCATCGAGATACACTAATTGTTTCTGACAGATAACAATGTTATTGGTAGTGGTTCACTGACAGGTTAATTTCACATTTCACACTTTGACTGATCAGTGAAAATTTTGCAATCCAAGCGGTTTTGTCAAAAATCACCATTTTATGTGTGATTATCAGGGTCATCATAAAAGTAGAACAAACTGATAGCTGCTATTTCTGGCATTGTTTAGTTTATATACTGTTTTCTTTCAAATTCTATATTTCTGTTAATAGGGCATTGACAGGTACCATCATTGGCCTTGAACTTCTTTGTTGTACAAGAAACCACAGATTGTATGTCATACGTTACATGCTGTTGTGTTTGGTTTCCTACGTAAATTAGTAGTCAAAACAAAGCATTAAATCCATTATGGATGAAATGAAAAGGAGGGTGAAATTTTAAGCTTTGACAGTTGTTAATGACATTAAGATAATACAGTGACAGCTAGCTGTCAAAATTCATTTTTATCGATGCTGCATTCTGTGTGGTAGTAGATCCTGGCTCTTGGTTGATAGTAAATTACAAATTTTGTTTAAAGTACTTTAGCTTTGGAATTATTGGTGTGACACTTAATTTAATCTGACTTAGCATTGGAAGCTGCAGCTTTATAAACAAGATTTCCAAATCTAGTTGCATTATATTATTTTCAATTGTCTTTTTGATATATTGTTCCTTTGCAGAGTTAGTTTACACTCAAAACTACTTTTCTCAGTTGAAGAAGTACTTAGTTTTTGTAAGGTCCATACACAGTTAAATTTCACCCAAGTGGCAGACCACCCATCCTCTCAATCTAAGGGGGTAAATCTAGCTGGTACTGTTTACCTGAAAGAGGAGATTGTTGGAAAGGACATCTACAATGATAGTGTTGGCTGATTTGTTAACTCTTGCTCTAGTCGATTGCAATTCTGTGTTGCTGAATTGCGCACGTAGTGTTATTTAACTGCGGTATGAAATTTTTAGGGATTACACTGTAGTCTGCTAACCAGATTGGCCTCAGAGGGGGGTCTTGCTTCATCTGCTGGTATTTTTTGGCAGTTATCAAGTGTGCCTTTTTAACCAAAGGTGGTAGCTTTGTTAAGGAGATTTCCCAAAATTTATCCTTCTCTTGTTTTTTATTGTAATTTTTATTATTTTTGCTGTACCGATGTGCTAGGCATGCCTGTAGCAGTTATACACAGTACTTACTGTTTTGCTGTCAAGGAGATATGAATCTTTTTCCCCAGTTTGAAAAATAGCCACAAGTAGTTGAAACCCTCCTGGAGTTACCAACCAAAACCATAACTAAGGGGAGTATTGGGTTTTCATAGTTGCTTGTCACTGGGGTCATTAGCGAATTCATCAGTACTGGGTTTGCAATACTTTGGTGGAATCTGAATCTTTATCTTCACCATCCTGGCTATATTGTTGGGTGAGAAATGTGTAGGGCTTTAGTTGTTGTTTGCTTGGTGGATTTGGTCACTCAGAGGGGTTTCACTTCACCTGCTGGCTTTACCTGGTAGTTTTCCAGTAAGATTCTAAACTAAGAGGCAAACCATGCATATAAATTGTTGGACAAAAAATATCAGCTACTTTTAGATTTATAAGATGACCATTTTGATCAAAGATAACATGGTTTAAAAATAAACTAGTTTGCCAGTTGGTGAAACTCCTCCAAGATGTATATGTAGATTCAACCAGGGATTGTCATTTTGCAAGTAATCAATGGAAAGTATTTCAAAATAATGAACTTATTTACACCCCAGGATATTAAAAGGCAGTTTGTTTTCAATTCAAACATGTCTGGAAGAGCTTTGTTCAGTTTCCTGTTTTGTATCTTCTTCACTAACTGTTTGGGTTTTTTGGGGGGGGGAAACTTGCAGTTGTACCGGTATGTTGTTTGCATGGATACAGGCAGGTGAAAGTTGAACAGAGAGTTTGTTTGTAGATCCCAAAGGATGCAATTGAGAAGACCCATAGGGCTATAATTTCTTAGACATGTTTATATCTAGTGGTTTAAAACCTGACAGGTCTGAATAAAATTATTTTGTTCTTGTCCAATGGATTTCCTCCAAATGGCAGATCTGTCATGTCTAAGGAGCGGAATTTATAAATACTGCATTTCCTCCTAATGGAAACAGTTGCAGAAGCAGAGAAATCAACCATGTTTTGGTCTCTGAAATTGATTTCCAAATCTGCAGTGATCATCATTTAACTTAGTAATAGTGTGGAATTTTGTGTGTCAGAAATTAATTCAAAGTCAAACACGCTGTCATATTAAAGCAATACTGTATGTTGTGGTCAGAGATTCTTTTAGAACTCTTGTGCTAACTTCACTCCAGACCACCTGCCTAATGGAGTGAACACCAGCAGCTGGCAGAAACTTGCTATAATAAGAAGATCAATTAGTTATTAATAATGCATAATGTTCATTGTTTCTTTCTTCTTCTCTTGCATGTCCTGCCCAGAATATCAAGGTGAACTGGGCGACTAGTAACACAGGAGGCATGAGAAAGGATACAAGTAGTAAGTACAGATAATTTTCATTCTATTCAACTGTTGAACTGCAGATTCATTTGCTCAGACTCTAGGTTGGATCAGAGCAGTTTATTTTCAGTGGTTCACAACAGAGAATTCCATTGCTCTGCTATTAATATCACACATACACACATGAATTCACAGCATTTTAAAGTGCTATTTGGCTGGCATTTCTTTGCTTCTTAAGTCCTGATTGTTGATCTAAAGTGTGCAAAAGTGTTTTGTCATATTTCTCAATGGAACTGGTCTTGCTTACTGTAATATTAAGAGGCTTGAATTCATGGTTGATTGAAGGACTGCAAGCCAGAGTTATTGGTTTGAAGTAATTTATTGGTGACCTCATTAATATTAATTGCATTCACTCAAAGTTTCCTTGGACAGTTTTATAAGAAAAAGCTAGGGTTTTCAAGGTCTGTGCAAAAAGGTCACTATTCCCTTCAGCCATTTGATAATTAGTTTTTTTCTATGTTGATTTGCCATGTCTGAAACATTTGTTTCAAGTAGTATGTGTCATGTTTTAGTAAGTCTGTTTGACAGATGAATTGAGGCAACAATATGAATTCAACCTTAAGTTTAATTAATTCTCAGTCTCAAAATCAGTCAACTTTAGCAGATAGGAAAAGTTGTTTGGCTGTTTGTGTAAGCTCTTTGGTAAAACATCATTTTGTTAACTTTCATTCATGAATACGTTTTCACTTTTACCCCCAATAGCAATTATCATCGTTATTTTGAATTAATCATCACAGCCTTTGTTTGAATAGGAAATCTGGGGGTACCATTTACACCCTCAGAATTATTTTGGTTCTTGTTGATAGCATTACTGTCAAAGAAGAATTCAAAAATCTGTTCAGTTCTTTACATGTCGATAATACTCTATTGTACTACATTGCAGCTTCTTATATACATGTGCCTATTTGGAATTGCCACACTCCATAGCAAATTATTATCACACACCACCATCTTTGGGCATGTCAATACCTTAAGATTGTAGACTGACAAAGACAGCATTTAACCACATTCACCATGTTTTATCCTTGTCTAGTGCATAAATCTGCTATGCATGAAAGAAAGATCAACATGGCAGTATTTAAAGTGACCTCTGGCCTGTTTCTACCTTAAGGTTGTAGACTGACAAAGACAGCATTTTGCCACAATCACCATGTCTTATTATTGTCAGGTTGATTAAATCTGCTATGCTTGAAAGAATGATCAACATGGCATTATTTAAAGTGACCTCTTGCCTGTTGTCTTGTGTAATTTTATTCATTCTGTCTGACTAATGAACTGTTTAGCAAGCAAATTTGTTTTGTGTATAGTCATGTTCAGTGCACAGGTTTTTCTGGAGTAGTTATTTTTTGTCTGTCATGATTTGTTTAGTAGAGCAGAGAGAGTAGTCTGACATAGCATCTCTCTCCAGCTAGCTAAGTGCGTACTAGCAAGTTAGTTGAGTAATCTGCATTTGTCTCTGGCATCATTAATGTAGTTTAAGTTTGAGACAAAAACTTCCAGTGACTTCATGCCATGAAAAGCAACAGCTTGGTCAACTACTACAGACGGGTCTCTTTTTAGACTTCTTTTCCTGCAAAATAGGCCAGTTTTGGTCTACACTAGAACTATCAGACGATTCCTCGCATCTCTCCGCCATTTTGTTTTTCGTTTTAATCTTACAGTGAAATGATGACGTCAGTTAACAGTTAATTATAAGTCTGTGCTTGTGATCAGTCACTGAGATTCTTGCTAGGGCCTGAATTCACTGAAAATTCAAAATAAAGATAGTTCGGTCTGTGAAGATGCCATGACAGGAATATGGAGTAGTTGCATGCTCCTAGTGATGGACTCCTGAAGGAGTGCAACTTTTGTTATGTAGATTGTTGTTTCAGTTTGGTAAACATGTTATATTACTAATCTATGTATTTTGGTATTGTGTTATCCTTACAGATCATTACCACATATTTGTGGGTGACCTTGATTCAGAAATTCACAATGATTGTCTTTACAAAGCTTTTGCTGCTTTTGGACAAGTGACGTAAGTCTTAGCATTTTTTATTCCTTTTACACTGTTCAATTTGCTGTGCACACCATTTTCATTACTGTTGTTTTTTTTCACTTGCTGAAGTCAATTTTGACCTTCAACATCCTTGACATGCCCTGATCATTCACCTTTTTCAACCTGTCATACATTTTTCTTACTTGCTAACTGTACAAATCAATGTGAATTAAGATTTAAAAGTGTTATTCTTTTAGCACAACCAAGTGGCTCTTCATTAGTTAACATACAGTGTTGATAAGTGATGGTTAATTTACTTTTTCCAAAAGGCACAAAAAAACAAAGCAGCTATAATTTATAGAATGATTTTTTTAATAAATATTTGCACAAATACTTAGTCTGTCAACCAGTGATGTTGAAGTTTAAAATTGATTAATAACACGATGACAACAGTAGCACTGAAGTGTTTCACATATGAAATTCATCAAGTAAAAAAAAGAATTATATTTTTATAGTTGAAGCATTGAGTTGTTTCAAGTCTGAGGAAGGAACTTTTTTAGATCATACAGTATAAGCTAGTGAGTGCGTTGTTACCCCTGTTTTCTGCAGAAAGTGGTTTTTGCTTTTTTACTTAATAAACTAAGCTAACTGTTTGTAATTGATTGAAGAGTTCAGTGTAAATATAGTAGTGGTTTACTTAATTGTACCAGGGGCTGGATGAGAAGATATTTGACCAAATCTTGTTGTATGCTAACTCAAAGTCCCGCAGATTGCAGCTGAGAAATTCAATACTGATTATGAAGATAATACAGAGATGTGTGACATGTCCTTTGGATATTGCTCAGTTTTTATCTTCCATCTGCTTGTAAAATCCAATCAGTGGACTAATTATATTCCCCTATGTTTCTGTGTTTTTTGGTGAGATCATTTGTGTTCCTGAAATGCCCAACATCTTGATTTCACATGGTGAGCACAACCTGGAAAAAGTGCCAAATCTACTGAGGGTTTGTGCTCATCATAGCAAGATGGTAGCCGTTTGAAGTATGCATACAATCTGTTTATCTTTACAAGCACACAGAACTGTAGGGGCCTTACTGTAGGAGCTTTTCTAACTAAATTACATATGACTACCTCAAATGGGGTGGAGATTGCCCATGGCTCAACAAGATTCTGTGTTAAATCCTGCCCTTGTACTTGGGTTTAATGGCAATGAATTGATATCTTTTGAAGAGCAATTGCATCCTTGTTCTTATTAGATATAGCCACTCTGTATTCAAGACTCTGAACTTTTTGATCATATTACATACTACTGTAGCTTGCCCAGAAATGACACAGTCTTTGGTTTGCAGTGATTACCAATGCAAAGCTGAGAATGGGAGTGGTTACAGTTAGGTTCCTTTCTTTTCTTTTCAACTTTGTTTGATTCTATTTTATACCATACGTAACTTTTTTGTTTCTATTTTGGTTCAAAATACAATGTAGGTCAGGTTTTGTTTGAAATTCACGAACAAAAAAGTGAATTACAATGTAGCTAGGGACCATTACCCGCCAAGAGTTACAGTTCTTATAAATGTGTTTCTAGAAATTGAAGAGAAGGGTAAAGCAAAGCTAGGGTCAGAATAACTATTTGTTTTATGTGAAAGCTCATGCAAACATACATACATGCATACAAACAGAACATCACTGAAATTTTTCTCCCCTCCCTTCACTCTCTTACTTTGTGCCCCAATTTAGATAACTTAAGTACAGTTCAACCCCTATTAAACAGCCACCCTTGGGAAATGGATAGTGGCCGCTTAAAGGGGGCCGGTCATTTAGCAGAGGTAAAAACAATAGAAAAGCCAGCTCATTGGGACTTTGAATACTGGCTGCCTAATAGTGGTGACCATTTAATAGGGGGTTCAACTGTTTTCATATAATGTCAACATTTGTATTATTGTCAAAGAAGATGATATCATTGGTAAGTTAAAGTTTGCTTTTGCTACTAGTTTATCATTTCTACTGACAATTAGCCTGGATTTTAAAGAAAGAGAAAAGTAATGTTTCTTTGACCCAATCATTACATACACATTTAACTTGAAATACTATTGTTTGAAACTGGAAATGTTGTTATATCAAATATTACCAAATGAATTATTTTGACAAGTTATTCCTGATTTTTCTCATGGCCAAGTAACACAGGCAATATTTCTTTGCAACTTGTCGCACTTTTGTTGCAGTGCAAGTTGAAAGGACTGTTTCTTGTATTACCCCCTGTATTGTTAGTTACGACAAAATGTTGCTTAAAGTTGAACTCGTGTCTACAATACTTTGCGCAACATGTTGCGTTAACTTGCAACACAGGTGATAACATTTGCAATAACGCTTTTCAACTTGCACCACACATTGCTTGTAAAATGTTACTCACATTACCCGGCCTCTAAGCAGTACAGTAATTAATCTTGTCATGGCTGTCAGATGTTTCATTGCTATGCTGTTTTTCAAGCTTAATTTTAGATCTTCAGTTTAACAAGAGCCCAATATGTTTGATATTTTTATCCATGCTTAGTACAGTATGTGTTGTAACACTTCCTTCCTTATTTGCTTGAATACAGATGAATGTGCACTAATTGCATCCCGCCCAGGCGATGTATGCCATTTCCTTGCTTGTTTTTTCTTCTTTTTTATCTTCTAAATTAGTAAAGAATTCAGAATAATGAAAAGAGAGTGAATATTCGATTTTTGAAACATATATAGTAGTCATGATGTTGTAGATTGTAAGAAAACGGCTGTTGAAGCTGTTAAATCTTAAGCTTTTTATTCATGATTTTTTTCATAATTATACTTTGAAAGTAAGGGGTATTTTCCATAAGCTTTTAAGATGTTATAGTTCAAGAAAATAAGTGCAGAGTTTGATCATTTGAGTCTCAGTTGACATGTAGATTTAGCATTAAAATATCACTCTATTGCATCTTTAGATTTTCTCATTTTGTAATAATTTTCCTTATTCAGTTTTATAGAATTTTTCTACCTATAACCATAGTAATTTCAGGATTGCCCTCTTCACTCTTAATGTAGGGATTGTCGTGTCGTGAAAGATAGTACTTCTGGAAAGTCTAAGGGATATGGTTTTGTGTCGTTCCTCAAAAAAGAGGTATGTATATCGGGACCTTGTTAGTCTTGTTTTTAGATATTGTGTTTTCTCTCTTTGGAACACCACCTTAGATGATTAGGTTCTCCATTCTTATTCTACTTGGTTTGCATTGTTAATTATAAAGGAATGATGCTATTCCTTTTTCACACTTTAATGTTTGATTGTATTTAGATAATATTTTGTACTGCAACACAAAAAAGAAAATTAACANGTAGCTTTAGGCTACTGCGCCAGTATGGTAAGGTTACATCTGCATACAAGCCAAGTGGTCCATCAGGCCTGGGTTTATCTCTGGTTTCAGAAGCATGAAGCAACTAGGAATATTTCTACTCCCTCCTGGATGGGATGCCAGTCCATCACAGGGTTACCCCCAGCATTAACTTTGCCAGTACCCATTTATACACGTGGGTGGAGAGAGGCACTGAACACAACACAATGTCCCTGGCCAGGGCTCGAACCCTAACCGCTTGATCCAGAGGCGAGCGTAGGAACCTTGAGGCCACCACACTGTGCCAGTATGAGTGAAGACAAATCCTACTTCGAAAATAGTGCATATGAGCTGATGTCACATTTAAGAGTAAAACGCTACATTCTCTCTGAAGTAAATCTTTTGTTTCTTTTCCCTTTGGCAGATGACACACTTCGTCAGAACTTTTCACAGTTTGGACAAATCTATGACATCAGAATATTCCCAGAGAAGTTTTATGGATTTATCAAGTAAGTTAACCTTACACTTGACCCAATGTACTGTTGATGTCCATAAGAATATCTGCAACACAACCACAACTTTTTCTTTTTAACTGTTTCTTTTGTTCTCTGAACAGATTTTATACGCATGATCAAGCTTTAGAAGCGATTTACCAATCACAGAGAACTGTCCTAGGAGATAACGTATTGAAAGTAAGTGGTCCACCTTGAAATATTAGGATCTTCAGCAATAATTTACATACACAATCAAAACTCAAAGTTATTACATGTAGCTGATGCAAAGCGCTGGAAAACAAGTGAGAGTCATTGATGAAAGATAGAGAGCTTTATTAAGAAAAACCATTGCAGCCCCCTAATGTGGCTGAAAAATTTGGCGGGTTTTTTTTTAAGCCAATCGTATAACATAGATGATGCAAACCAATATTACTTTGTGACTGCTCAATCACAAACACCTCATGCTTAGTATTAGTATCGTTTAATCTCTGAATTAATATGATGTACATTGTATTTTGTTGACTTGTGTTTCTAACTGTTCTTTTCAGTGTTCTTGGGGGAAGGAAAATGCAGAAATAAACAACGTACAGCAGCAATGGCAGCAGGTATTGTGATCATTATTTCTAAGGTGTAAATTATTGGTCAGTCTCCACTGCCAGCATTTGGTTTTCACGAAGAGGCCAGATTGAGTGCTTGTTATCAGAGCCCAGGTGGAGGACGAAATAAAGGCAAAAATCATCACAAAAAAGGAAATGTTTGCAGATGTGTCTTTTTAAGTGTTTTACCAATTTGGGACCAGTATGATTTATCATTCTGCATAATATTATTTCATCATCATCAAATTGTCTTTTCCCATGGGGGGAGGGGGTCGTAGGCATCCTCTAGTGCCTTCCACTTCTGTCAGTCTTGAGCTGCTCTTTTGGCCTCGCACCAACTCAAGCAGGTCTCCATCAGGTCTTTCTGGATACTTCTGTGCCACGAAATTTTAGGACTACCACATTTGCGTGGGCCTTGCGGGTTCCAATCCATCGCGTGGCGTGCTGTTCCTCTAACCCTGCCTTAGTGTATGACCAATCCATTCCCAGCTTCTTCTCTTTATGGTGTAAGTGTTGATAGACTCTTGACCCGTTCTTAACCATAAATCTCTGTTGGCGATCACTCCAGGACAGTATACCCTCAGGAATATCCTCAGACTGACACTTGTAGATGAAATTGAAATTATCGTCACTCTGCTTGTCTCTGAGCTGTACAATAAAACTGCCTTTACATTGGTGTTGAAAATTCTGATTTTGGTAGTAGTGCTTAGGTCTTTGCCTCTTCCAACCCGGCTGAGCATACCAAAAACCTGTTCTGCTTTCTTTCTTCTGTGTTGTAATAAGTACAATATTATTTACTGAGCCGTTTTTTGTGTTTTGCTTACATTTCAGTACTATCAGCAGTATTACCAACAGTTCTATGGTCAGCAGCCTATGCAGCAGCAGACACAGGCCCAGGCAGGGTATGTTCAGTACCCAACGGCAGCAGCTCCACAGTATGTCTATTATCCACAACAGACTTTTGGGTAAGTTAGCAGCAGGCATGTGCAGGCCTTATGTTGGGTGCATGCCGACGTTTGTAGGTCTGCTCGCAGGCCACCTCTTATGACAAATAGATTGGTGGTTGTGGCAGAAAGGAGTCAGAGAGAGGAAAAAGGAAAAAGGGGTGGGTGATTTATTATGGCTTGAGAGCTAAAACAAACGTTAACTATGTGAGAACTGAGAATCTTCCACTCTCTCTCCCATCCCCACCCCCCAAGTATTGGGGAAGTCTCCTATTAGGCTTAATTTTCCAAACCTTGATTTCACCTTGTATTTTTCAGTGGAAATGCATGCCCTAAAGCCGATTTCTTGTTGAACTGAAACTGTAGGATTTTCAATGTTGAACTGCTTTTTGCATTTCGATTCAGTTAATGAATTAAATAATGTTATTGTGTTAGCTCTGGGCTGATTGTTAACAGCTAAACTTGACCAAAATGACCAGGATACTATAGTTACTAAAAAATCAAGTTGACGTTATCAACAAGCAAGTGATGTTACCATTTTGGCGACTTTCTTCAAGCATGCGAGCTAATTAGAACACTTACAACACTCAGAGTCGTGGAATCTAACATTATTTTATTTCCTGTTAAATGTTTGTCACTTTAATTCTTGTTCAGTGAATGTTTGCATTACATTTCCTTCCTCTTCTTTCACAGAAATCAGCCAATGCAAGTTGTTCCAGCAGGTATACCGGGATACCCTGGTGAGATATTGTGATTTGCGAAAAGATGAGCATTTTGAAAATGATGTCTGCAGCTGCTGTCGTGTTTTGAAGGGAATCGTGCCTTGTAGTCATACACTATTGTAATTCCATTCTCGCCTGAATGAAACATTTATTGATATGCACGTAACTCATCTCCGAGAGTAAAATTTAAGACACGTAACAACATTAACTACGAAAAAGAAATAAGTTTTATCCTTTCACGAGCAAGGGACAAATAAAAAAATCTGACTCCCTGACAGGATTCAAACCCATGACCTCCCAGATATCAATCAGGCCTTCTAACCAATCAGCGTCTGAGTTCATATGTGACATGCGCCCTGCATGCTGCTTGGATCTGCGGTAATGCATGCAGAGATAACTGCAAGCTTCTTGTGGTTACCAGTAGTTATTTTAAGAAGATGCATTGTCAAAGGCCCAGTCAGGGAATATTCTACACTTTCTTTGTCTCCGTTTGGTAAAAATATTGGCTAGTTGTAGGGAATTTGATCGAAGTTTGGTCACCATCCTGGTGCAATGTTTCACTTACTAAACTGCTATTTGTGGGTTAGGATATTATTTCGAGAGTAACTTCTAATGAATATATTGGCAGAAAATGGAAAGCACTGGTTAGCTGACGAAACAGGGGTAAAGAACGCCTTGTGTTAACTTCTTACTCCTGCTACGCAGGCTAAACTCTTCTTGATTTATGTATTCGTATAAGCGCCTAATGGTTTCACGACCAGCAGACATCATTTTCAAGCTCGTCTTGCATGTAGAACCAACACGGCCGTTAAGGTCTTTTGATCACGTGCAATTGTTTTCCCTCCAGTCACTTTAGTCCTTTGTTCTCCTTCAGCTCAAATGGCGCCAGCGTCTACGGCTGGTCAGCAACCTGCCACACAGACACAACAGATGATGGGCATGATAGGACATCACCAAGGGGGGCCCGCCCCTGCCAATGCAACTTCTTACGTCATGCAGCAGGCTGCAGGCTACCCAACACAGTAAAGAGACACCACAGGACTGTAAACAAGAAGAGAAAAACTTAACCGTCAACAGAGTTGACGATAGACATGCCCTCTCTGCTGCAGAGGAACAATGTAATGGGAGAAACAAAAAGCATAAGCGTTTGAAAATAAAACCCCTCTCGCTTCACCTAAGGTGAAAACGAAAAAAAAAAATATCGAAGCTACAAAAAAAGCGATCTCTTGTTTGGCATTGAACCCTTTTGAGTTGAAAAAGTAGCCGAGTAGTGCTTAGAACATTTAACAGAGAAGCTGATAAGCATACATAAGTATACTTTGTACAGTTTATGAAAGTATATTTTGTATTTATTGTTTTCCGATTTAGGGGGTTGGTATTCCACCTTCAGCCCCTCTGCTACGAAAGAACTATATTTTTTTTCATGCCAAAAACAGGCAGCTTTACTTGATTTATAACTTTTTGAAGACTTCAACACCGCAAATGAAACTGAACTTTTTCAGCATACAAAGGTGGTTCATTGCTGAGCTCAATTGTATCCTTCTTGTAACCCGTGTACTCTGTTCAAAAGCTTTGTACATTTGTTCCATGTCAAGCTCTCCCTCGCTGGCTGTGCTTATCTGTAGTGTACCAGTTTAGTGAATGTAGCAATGTGAGCCCGAACAACTGTGGGAAGTTAAGTGTAAATGTAGGAATATGTGTGTCTCAATGTCGGGCGACTAGAACCAAAAAAAATAAAAGATCTTTTACAACACTTTTGAAAACGAATTCTTTGTGACCCCTCCCTCTCCTCGCCCCCACCAATAATAAAATGGGCCCTGTCCTGATGGCTTTGTCTTCCGAGAAATAAAACAACAGAATTCACGTCGAGGTTGAGGGATGAATAGATAATATGTTTTGGTTTATTCTCTAAACCGTGGAATGGAGTTACATGTTATCATGCATAACAATTAGGTCCATTTCCCTGTGAGAGGCTGGTTAAAAGACGTGCTAGGTAATTTTGAAAGGAACCCTAAAAGGCTACCGGAATTCCATTTCAATATAGTCTAGCTCGAACTTCACTTTCATCCCTAAAAGTTGCTCAGATAACTGATGTTTTCAATGTTTAGATTAAGGGTAGATTTCGGATTTTCTTTTCTCTTCTAACAAATCGACCAAACCACGAACCCTGGGTATTTACAACTTAACTATAAATCCCTCAGATTTTGGTTGGAAAGCGGGCATTTATCGTGCGTGTATCCCAGTTGAAGATTTCGGAAAAACACCCGAGCAATTCAAAAAGCACAAAAGTTCTGTCCGTTCTGTGCTGATGTCCATGGGGCAAAATTACATCAGTCCGTGAAAAGATAGTTCCAGTAGGTTCCTCATAACTTGAACACGTAATGCAAAGGCAAGAATGTCTTTGCATCGTTCTCCTCAGTTCAAATATGAAGTATTTCATATATTCACTTGCATTTTAAGATCGCGCTTAGCCTAGGAAGACAGACGTATTTCCGGCTGTTGCTTGGTTCCGCCGATGGAACCATGCGACAGCCGGAAATACGTCTGCGTTCGCAGGCTGTATCACGCTCAGCTCCTGTGAGTTATCGAGAGTGGCATAAGCAAAAAATACACAGGAAAAACAAAATGAAAGTCTAAAATCTAAAACAAAAAGACAAAACAAACAACTCCAAACGGAAAATATTGGGTGTTAATTAATTTTAACCAGTACTCTTAGAGCTTACTATGTTCCCGCAAACCTTATCGGAAAACCATAACACTGTACTCCTCGCCCGGATTACGATCGAGCCACCCCACAATTAAGCCACGCTAAAAGTCAGGCAACAAATAGGACCAACAGATATAATATCAAATTTGACTGTAGGGCAGATTCAACAGTGATGGGGAAGCTTTCGTGTACCATGATAAGGAAGAGTGGATTTATGGGCTCTCAAAGGATACTGAATTTAGTTCTAGTTGTCGAAATTTTTGATTGTTCAAGGGTTAATATTCTGTACAAGAGTCAAGGAAATTCAAACAAAATTACCCTTCAGTTCTAGTCATCAAAATGTTCGAGTTATTAGAGGTTCGAGTTATCGGGCTTCGCCACCTGTTTTTATATGCGTTGCGTACCTACCTACAAGGTAGTATTTTCGCCCCAGTCACCTCGCATTTGGGCACATGGCCACATTTTCAAAATGGCGGCCGGCGGAGGGAAAGAAGGTTTAGAAGAAAGCAATGAACAACAGCTTTCTCGGATCGTTAAAGGTCAGCTATTTTCGAAAATCGTTTTGTTTGAATTCCGTTTATCTAAAAGAGGCAATAATATTTCTTGCAGACGTACGCTCTGGAAGCCTTGATCTGGTTACATTTGTGGAAGAGCTGGGGTGAGTCTGTGATCATTGTTTTGACCCTTTGACTGGTTATGTAATCTTTCAAGCTAAGTTGCAGAGATTTTTTCCATGAGACAGACAGATCGTTCTTGCCTGTTCACTCTCCCCTGCTTTTTCTCGAACATTTGGTCGTGATGTCGTCATCTTGCACAAATCATGGACATGAGGGATAAAGACACGAATCTACCCCCCACCCAAGAGGTGTTTATTTTTAATTCTTATTTTCATTTTGATAGGCCGCAGCTGACAAGCAGTGATGTAGATAAGAGATGTCACGGGGTCTGCTTATTGTCTGATGTCTTGCATCGTTTGGTTGGGGTTCCATTCCAGGAAAAGGAAGGTTGTACTTTGAAGAAGTTTTCTACTTTGAACCATTCCATTTTTATATCCCCACCCCTCCTCCCTCCCCCCTTTCCCC